CATGTAAACAACATGTCACAAGGCCTGTAAACATCATGTAAACAACATGTCACAAGGCCTGTAAACATGTAAACAGCAGGTCACAGGGCTTATAAATAACATGTAAACATGTCAAAAGGCCAATGAACAAAGTATAAACAACATGTAAACAACAGATCACATGACCTGTAAAGTACATGTAAACAACAGGTCAAAAGGCCTGTAAACAACATGTAAACAACACTGACACGTTGTTCTACCAGCTTGAACAACAACGATGAGTGAAGCAGAACCTCTGTGGTCAGAACTGCCTGAAGATGATTACATCATCTCCCACACAGGAAGTGATGATGAAGAACAACTTCCTGTCCTGTGTCTCTGCTTCCTGTCTGATAACACCAACATGTTGTTTGTACTTCCTGTTTGTCTGCACTGTAAAACAGACTGTAACCACGGTAACCACCGTCCTCCTGGCTCTGCTCTGATGTTTCCTCAGAATGAATCCTCCTGATTGAACTGACAGGAAGTGTATCTGATCCGGTTTGGAGGAAATAACCAGAACCTGAAACTTCTTCACCAGAACCTGGAGAACAAGCGACAAGAGTTCTGATTCTGACCCGACCCAGCTGCAGCACTCACCTGATCCACAAACCACGAAGACGAACAGCGCCAGCAGCCACGGACCCACCGGGGACTTCTCCTCGTTTACCGGCCTCTGAAAGACACACGCAGGTACCGATGACTCGGTTCTGCTGCAGAGACCCGGTTCTGAACATTCTCTCAGTGAAACCACACATGATGAAAAAAGGTTCTGTTTGGTATTTTCATCTGAACTCTTCAGGTTCTGGTTCAGGATCAACATGAAAGAACAGGACCAGCAGGAGAGACCGGTCCAAATGAACCTTGAAATAAAGAACCCCAACTGAGAAAATATACAAGAAAATCTTTATATTTAGGAACAAAACTTTAAATAAACTGTTTAATTAACAAACCTGCAGCAGCTGTGAAAGATAAAAATAAATAAATAAAAAGTTTAAACTGACAGAAATCATGTTTCAGAGTCGAGTTTGAAATAAAGCGAGTTCAGACTCGTCCTGCAGACAGGGAGGGAGCAGAAGATGTTTGATGAGTTGTATGGGAGACTGGACACTAAAGAGGGAGAGAAGAACTTGTACCAATTGGAGAGACAGAGGGATCAGGCTGGAAAGGATGTGCAGCAGGTTAGACTTATTAAAGATAGGAATGGTAATGTTCTAACAAGTGAGGAGAGTGTGACGGGAAGATGGAAGGAGAACTTTGAGGAGCTAATGAATGAAGAGAATGAAAGAGAAAGAAGAGTAGAGGTCATAGAAACTGTGGACCAGGAAGTGGGAAAGATCAGTGAGGGTGAAGTCCAGAAAGCTCTGAAAAGAATGAAGGAGGCAGTAGGACCTGATGACCAGTGGAGGTTTGGAAATGTCTTGGAGAGATGGCAGTGAGGTTTTTGACTCAAATATTCAATGACATATTTGAGGGTGAGAAAATGTCTGAGGAATGGAGAAGAAGTGCTGGTGGCCATTTTGAAGAACAAGGTGATGTACAGAGTTGTAGCAACTACAGGGGAATTAAGATGATGAGCCACACGATGAAGATCTGGGAGAGAGTTGTGGAAGCAAGACTTAGACGAGAGGTGACTGTGAGCACCAGGATGGTTTCATGAAGAGAAAGAGCTCCACAGATCCATCTTTGATTTGAGGATGATGATGGAGAAGAACAGAGAGGGTCAGAAAGAACTCCATTGTGTCTTTGTGGATTTAGAAAAAACATCTGGCAGAGTGCTGAGGGAGGAGGTGTGGTATGTTAGACTGGTACAGGACATGTATGAGGACAGCAGGACATGTATGAGGACAGCAGGACACGTATGAGGACAGCAGGACACGTATGAGGACAGCAGGACATGTATGAGGACAGCAGGACATGTATGAGGACAGCAGGACAGTGGTGAGATGTGATGTAGGAGTGACAGATAGCTTCAAGGCGGAGGTGGGAGTGCATCAAGGATCTGCTCTGAGCCCCTTCTTGTTTGCTCTGGTGATGGACCGACTAACAGATGAGGTCAGGCAAGAATTCACATGAACGATGATGTTTGCAGATGACATTGTGATCTGTGTTGAGAACAGGGAACAGGTGGAAGAGAACTTGGAGAGGTGGAGGTATGCACTTGAAAGAAGAGGAATGAAAGTCAGTCGTAGTAAGACAGAGTCCATGTGTGAATGAGAGGGAGGAGGTGGAACAGTGAGGCTACAAGGAGCAGAGGTCACAAAGGTGCAGGACTTCAAGGACTTGGGGTCCACTGTCCAGGAACATGGGGAGTGTGGTGAAGAGGAGAAGAAGAGAGTCCAGGCAGGATGGAGTGATGGAGAAAAGTTTCATGAGTGATTTGTGACAAAAGGGTGTCAGCAAAGGTCAAAGGTCAAAGGAAAAGTTTACAAGACAGTGCTGAGACCAGCTATGTTGTATGGTCTGGAGACAGAGACATGGACAAAAAGACAGGAGACAGAACTGGAAGTGACAGAAATGAAGATGTTGAGGTTCTCCTTAGGAGAGACAAGGATGGAGATCAGGAATGAGATCATCAGAGGTACAGCACAGGTTGAACAACTGGGAGATGAAGTTAGAGAGGACACACTGAGATGGTTTGGACATGTCCAGAGGAGGGACAGTGGTTTGGACATGTCCAG